GAAGAGGTTCATAGTGTGCAGCCTGGGTCTCCTGCCTGGCCTTGAGCATGACTTTGGGCAGACCCTGCTTTCTGACGCATGTAGTGCTCCCAGCCCTGTGTACAGGTGCTCAAGCACTAAAGAGGTGCTTCCTCTAGCCATGCAACCATTAGCCTAAGTGCCTGCTTGCTGGCTGACCAGCCCATCTGCTCACTGCCACCGATGTCAAATTACATTGTAAGTATACTCTGGATTGGAGAGGAGCACATTGTAATGTTTGTAAAAGAACATACTTTCAGAACACCCAGTGGGAGGGGCAAAATGTGTCAGGTGAGAGCTGCTGGTGATGTAATTTCCGGGAGGTGGAATGCACGCCAGTGCGCTACTTCCGCTCCGGTACTTGTATGCTTTTCTATTTGTTATTACATGTTAGTGGAACATGATTTTAAAGCTAATTTTATAGAAACGGTATTTCACTATATGGGCCCTCCTCTTTTTACACTATGCACTGACCATCAATGTAAGGGCACATTCATACATGCAACTATTATTGGTGCTGTGGAGTGGTGGATAATATTCAGAGGGCATTTGACAGGCAGTAAGGAGGTAATATGCCACCACAAAAGAACTCAGTTGAAGAGCAGCTACAGCCTGGCCCCATTTATCTTTAGCGAGTTTGGTGACGGTACCACCCAACAAATGTGGCATGCTGATTTAGATTTGCCGCAGCTGTGATGCTTTGCTGTGCACAACCCTGAGTGGCTTTCATCTCCTTGTTAAAGTTGGCGGTATGGGGGGGGGGGGGGGTGTTTTAGTAAGATTTCAGAAAAATCTTGGCAACCTTGCAGATTGTATATCTCAAACCACGGGGTCTGGATTCAGCAGGTACACTAGGCTCTGTAGTCTCACAGCACAAGATTCACTGGCAGTAGCAGTCCCACTTTAGCGGCCAGCTTATGTGTTCTGTCCCCCCCCCCCCCCCCCCCACCAGCTAAGCCTGGGCTTTTAGTCCTCTTGATTTGTGCCCATCTTCCAGTTTCTAGGACTTAAAGTCCTACTCTGACTCTGTTTTGATTAAGGCTGCTCTCCCATTGACTACATTCCCCATGAGTCTTTTTACTCATGGCAATCACTGCCCATTCTCCAGGTGCAGTTGGCTGGGCTTCCTTACAAAGACTTTTCTGCAGCCAGCTCAAGTTCCTTAAAACTGCCCCTCTGTATATCCCAGCCCTCTGTCCTATCTAGCAGCAGGAGACAGGAAAATGAAGGGCCATACAGTTTCTTAGCTGTGCAACTTAAAGGGTCATGGTGCCAACCTGGCTACATAAGGCACCTAAACAAAAGCAGTAATCTTTCACCAAAATTCCAGTGCCTGGTACCATTCATCAATGGTTCCATCTCTTTCCATCTAAAGTAATATTTTACTTTTAGGCCCCTTCCAGACAGGTGTGTTCTGGTCAGTCATTCAGCCTGCCAGTTTTTCAGGCAGACCTGATAGGCAGACCAATCCATCCCTAATCAGAGGTGGGGGTAAAAAAAAACTTGTTCAGGACCTCCGAAAAAAAAAAAACACACACACACACCACAGGAGAGGACTCTATCCTCTTCCATTTAGACGAAGCAAATTGATGGTAGCTGGACAGCATAGTCCATTTATGCCCAACCACCAATAGAGCAGAGTAGGCTCTGTCTGTGTCCGCTCAGCAGATACCGAGCAGATATAGATGTGTCATCTGCCCACTCTGCTCCAAGCAGCAGAGGATCAGCTCACATTTGAAAAAGGGCCTTACAGAAAAAATGAAAAGGTGAACACCGTACATCTTTCCACCATACAGCGGAACTCTCACAAGTCAGTGTACCTTCCTTACAGTATAGAAAAAGGTGTAATCAATGGAGTACCTACCTTACAGTATATAATGCAAAATGATCATCAGATAATGACACTTGCATTGAAATAAATTATTTAGCCACAGTTTTGCAATAATATTAATAGCATGTATGGTTCTTGCCTTTCAGCATAAGTTTGTTCCCAAGCCAAAGCATTTTGTATACAGTAAACTAATATTTGATCACAATGTGCCACACTTTACAACTGCAGTCCAGATAGCATAAATAGTTTGAACAGGCTTATGTCATCTGCCTCAGAAGTAGATAAGCAATTGTTCAACAAGTATGATTCCTAAGCAATAGGTGATCATACCAGTAGCTAGGAGTTAATGTTTCCTAAACTGTCAGTCTTCCTGCTTCACTTCAGGCTGCATGGGTTTAATTTCCCTTTCAACCACTGCAGCTATACTCAAGTCCAGTGTCTCTGTGTGTGGGAATAGGGAGGGAAGGAGCACTTTATCTCTCAGTGAGGCTCCCCTGCCTTTTGTGACCTCACCAGTGACCTAATACAACATGTTTCAAACAGTAACTGATCTTTGTCAAGGAGGGATCACTGGGTGTGGGAAAGCTGCTCTCCCACTAAAGACAAAGATCATACACTAACCTGTGCAAAGTTATGCCATACGCCTCATGTTTACACCCAAACAGAAATGTCAAGATTTACCCTACAATTGGCTGTGCATACAGGGTAACAAACGACACCATAATATTACGATTAATGCACATCCTATGCAGGTGAACATTTTAAATTTAGTATTGGAAAGAATAATGAAGGGTAAAACGCCTGTTTCTATCTCAGTTTGTGTCTGCAGGTAGATTCACCTTCTCTATATGTCCTGATTACCATTGTCACTAAGACAGCAAGTAATAGAAAATCGAAAGTTTTACAGTTGTCACCAAACCAGGAAGAGAGGGGAAATCTTGCAATGTTGACACCTGTCCTGATGACAACTGCTTAGACGAGGACATCCTTTCAATTTAAAGCCATTTCCTCTCAATTAATGTTGAGTCTCTAGGACAGGCAGTATAGGGAAACCTCCCAACAAGACACAGACTACATGGGAAAAAACTGACTCATGGACATGTTGGAGAACTTGAATTTAACATTGAATACAATCAGAGCAGGAGCTCTCAGCCTTAAATACCAATGTGCTGACAAAAATACAGTAGGCCAACTGGATTGTTTGCACAACGACTAAGTGTAAAAATACTCACACTAAAACTCTGTGTAATATGCTAGTACTACATAATTATTGTACCATGTTGCCAGATTCACATACCTCCTTTTCCAGCTTTCTGTAATTTTCTTCTTTTATTCTGGTTATTTTTTTCTTATTTGTTGTGGAAACATTTCCCTATATATAAAGCTGAAGTTTAGTCAAAAAAAAAAAAAAAAAAAAAACACCTTTTCTGTAACTTAAAGAAGAACTTTAGGCAAAACCTTTTTTTCACTTTGCATACAGTAAGGGAGGGTTATAACCCAACAGTTTATTTTTTGCCATCTGCGTCCTGTTGGGGAGATTTACCTTGACTTCCTGTCCTATAGCAAAACAGGAAGTAAGAGGAATTCCCTGCAAATTAAGGGAATTCCTTGGGGACCAGGTCTTAAGAACTGGTGTCCCCTTTGGAAAACGTTTCCTCTATTACATTTCTACGGACAACCCAAAATTTTGGGTTTCTTTTACTTTCACTTTTGTTAATAATGGAAAAACAGGACAAATAGATAGGGTGTGACTCCCTAACGGGGCACAGACAGCAATAAAAACTGACAGGTGCTCTAATCCCTCTCCACTCTATCCAAAAGTTAAAAAAAAGGTTTTGCCTTTAGTTATACTTTAAAGTGAGCTAACTGACCTGTAATGAAGGTTGTCCTGTGCTGTCTGGGCAACTGGATCCTATAGACATCTTAACTTCAGGGTGACCTGTTCTCTTCCTTTCTCTGAACTTCTGGCACTGTAGCGGTTAATAGCTTTGGGTCCTCTGTGAAGCTACTTTGATAAATTTCCCACTGAGGACTCAACTCATCAGGAACGTTTTCACTGCAGCTTCACAGAAGACCCAAAGCTATTAACCACTGCAGCGCCAAAAGTTTAGAGATCGGAAGAGGATGGGGCATCACTGCACAGGATCCAGCTGCTTGCATAAGGTGGGAAAGCGTTCATTACAGGTACTAGCTAAAGTTTAGCTAAACTTCAGCTTAAATTGTGGCCCCAATGTTTTCCATGCTCTGCATATACAGAAAACTTTAGTTCTTACTTAGTCCTAGCTCTATTTTGTGTTGTGTTACACAGTTCTATAGGTAAGAATCCCAGTCTTAGTGTTGTTCTCCAATCCCTCTGTAGACTACAGAACACGTTCTTATGTTGTAAAGAAGTACAAAAAGGAGAAAATCTTTAGTCCTAAACATGTTCGCATTGAACACAGTTTGAGAAAGTGTTCTCGCCCCAAGATAGGTAGGTTAAAAGATAGGACAGGATAAAGAAACAAAGCCTGAAAAAAAAAAAAAAAGAAACAATTGCAACCACCACTTCTAAGGATAGGTAAACTGCAATATAAAAAATGTTTGTACTTTTATTTAAATGTGCTTCAATGCTAGGTCGATGGTAGCAGAAATAGTGTTACAAAATTGCAGTGAATTTAATCTGTTTGAGTTTACTTTTTTCATAGACAATACCAATATAAAACAATAAACTGAATGTGTATGAAGTAAATTCGAAGAAAACTCTTATCAGTAAAATAAAAGAAGTGAATAAAATTAATTAAAAAATGCATGGAAATGAATATATTGTAGGTGTTCCGCTTTTGTGATTTGATGGTAATGTGTTGTACAGCAATATAGTATGAATGTGGATGTATATGAGTGTAAAAGAAATTGTACAGTAACTGAACTGTGATAAAAGAAAAACACCCGCACTCCAGTTACAAAGTATTGTGCAATTTAATTACAGCTGCATTAAAAAAAAATATTTTACAAATAGAACTATACTCAAAATTGAGATAAATTCAACATAACATAAATATATGCTACAAAATACTGACTTCAGCATCAGAGTTGGTCCATAATAAAAGTGTTTTCAATGATTCCTACTGCTGGCAAGTTACAACACGCAGAAAACCGGGTCTTCAGATTCACGTTAAGTATCCCCAGTCATTATGGAAATGAATTCTTCTATATTTACTGTACACATAAAACAAAGGTATTTTTTAGACATAGATCCAGTAATATTTAGTCATATGCAACATGAATAAGTTAATTTACACAGATGGGAGTAATATGGTTTTTAGGCAAATGTCACAGGGACTGCACTATGAACTGCAGTTAGTTGATCTCTATGGTGACTTGCAAACGTTTGCAAGGAAAGGCGCACACACACACTACATCAAAATCAGTGATACAATTCCACATTCACTATATTTTACAATAAATAGCCATTCAAGAAACATCTGGAATCAGCATTAAGACTCATTTAGATATGTAAAGAAATGTGTTAACTGCACGTTTTCGATGTGTTTGTGTCGCTTTATAAAAAATAAAAAATAAAAAAAAGAAAGAAATCACTGCCAGATGCCCCCTCTGTTTTTTTATTGTATGGATTTTTGTATTATCTTCCCAGCTAATAACACTTTCTAAACGCATCTAAACGCAAAATGCACCGTAAATGCCATAGAAGTGTTTGTGATGCATTTGTGATGCGTTTGCCGAGCGTTTACATTGACATCAATGGAAGCAGTTGGGAAGTGGCAAAGGCTGGCAAATGACACATGCTGGGTCCATTTTGAAGTTATGTAATGCGACGCTAATGCAACCATGTGAACAGCGCAGGGCACAGCAATGCACACTAGGTGCCTGCTTTTGAAGCTAGTGTAAAATTCCTGAATATTGAAATCACTATAGCACATACACTCTAAAAACATATTCTGAAAAGCTTTCAAAATCATAACTCCAACAAGTGATAAAAACATTTCCGTTTCATCTTTTGATAAACACATCCCAATAACTAAAATAAAAACACCCTATTTAACATTTATAACTCACTTTCTCCATCACCATCTTTGTCAAATTCATCAATCATAGCCCGCAGCTCTTCATCCGTCATGTTTTCCCCAAGTTCACGAGCAACCCGACGTAGATTTCTCAAGCTAATTTTTCCTGAGTCATCATCGTCAAACAGTTTAAAAGCTTTGAGCATCTCTTCCTGGGGATCACGGTCCAATATCAAATCTGTAACTGTGTTATTAGAAAAAGTATTATAAATTCTTACTGCATAACACAATATTAATCCAGCGAAAACAGAATTCAAATACAAACAATCACAAGCAGCCAAATTAATGGTTAATATGTAGCATACCAAATTAATCTTGTCAGCAGCCTTCACAAAACTTTGCCAATTCTGATTCTTGTTAAAGAAAATAATATTCTGATGTATTATTGGCTGCAAAAAACAAAATAAAAGCAGCTCTGTGACTTCTAGCAGCCTTGGACCTGCTTCTTTTCACTTGCATAACAGTTAATCAATGCAACAAGTCCCTCCCAACAAGGACTCCTACAACTGCCCAATCTAACTTGTTCATATAACCAAAAGGGGTAAATGTGAACTGACTGCCAGACTTAAACTACATCACATTCCTAGCAGTGTGCTCCTAGAACATGAACGAACAATGGCTACCACATGTGCTTCCACCTATAGTGACACCACTTTATTGGCAGTTCCAACAATCTCTTTCTGGTACTTTCCACACTCTTTTCTCTTGATGGGAGAACAGTTTTTGTAGAAAGCCTACATCTGATCAGGAGTGGGAACCTCTGATCCATTATAAACCAGCACATCTCACTTCATTTTACTATAAGGTAGACCTGAGTCTCACCAAGTACCACATACTGATTAAGCAAATTTGGAGCAGAGGAGAAAAAAAAAAAAAAAAAAGTACAACAAAAAGGGCCAGTGCACACAATTGCACTGTGTTGGTGCATGCCCATTAACCCGCTTAAGGACTGCCCTATAGCAGATATACTGCTACAGGGCGGCACCTGTGCGTAGAATCACATATTATATGTAATTTTGCATTTCCAGGTAGGGGGCGCGCGTGTGAGCAGTGCGCGTGTCCTACCCGAGCTGCCATTCGCGGCTGCTGATGTAAATCACCGGATCCCTGCTGGTAATTATCCACCGGCGCCCGGTGATTACCAAGCATCTCCGACGGGGAGAAAGATTCTTTTGTTTACCCCCCCCCCCCTAGTAAAAACACTCCCAGCACACGGTTAACCCTTTGATCGCCCCTCACATTAACCCCTTCCTGCCCAGTGCCATTAGTACAGGGTCAGTGCTTATTTTTAGCACTGATCACTGTATGTGTGTCACTGGGGCGTCAGTGACACCAAGTTAGTTCCCCCAGTGTCAGAATGTCTGCCACAGTCCCGCAAAATGTCGCTGACGTGGAAAGAAGCAGGTCCAAGGCTGCTAGAACTCACAGAGCTGCCATTACTAGTAGAAAAAAAAAAAACCCATTATCAATACCGCCATTTATAAACGCTATAAATTTCACGTAAACCAATTAATCTACACGTATTGGGATTTCTATTTAGCAAAGACATGTCACAATACATTTTTACCTAAATTTATGACCAAATTTTATTTTTAAAATTTTTTTTACTGGACATGTTTAATAGCAAAAAGTCAAAAATATTGTTTTATCAAAATTGTCGGTCTTTTTTTGCCTATAGCGCAAAAAAAAAAAAAAAAAAAAAAAAACGTGCATGTGATCAATTACCACCGAAAGAAAGTTCAATTCGTGGGGAAAAAAGGACGTAAAATTAATTTGGGTGCAGCGTTGCATGAACGCGCAATTGTCAGTTAAAGTAACGCAGTGCCTGGCCATGAAGGGGGGGGTAAATCCTCAGGAGGGCAAGTGGTTAACATGTATTGGATTAGGGAAGCCGAATCACTTGAAAGGGCCAGCACAGCACAACACACGTCTATCAGCAAGGTGCACTGGGGTGAACATCACTGAACCAACATGCGTTACCGAGTGTTTTGGTAATGAGCAAGTTAGCACAATAATTTGAATCCATCCTAAAATGAATCAGGTATTTTTTATAACCATATTTCTAGGTTAATTTCAAAGATTAAACCTGGTTGGTTGCTATGCTAAACTGCATCATTTGCTGCAAGTTGTGTGTAAATCAGCCCCACAGTGAAGGCAGGCAGCACCAATGCCATCAAACCCTTACTATGCTCCAGTCCAATCGAGTTATTCCCTGTGTGAGCCAGTGGTGTATGCAGGGGAGAGGAGGGAGCGTCAACAACAGATGGGACATGGGAACCTATGGGTGATGTCACCATTTCAGGCTTTACCAGCCATTGTTAGGCTCTCTCTCCTCTTGCCTGCAGCCACTGCTGACTGACACGGGGGGGGGGGGGGGGGGGGGGGGGGGGGGGATCATGTGACTAGACTGGAGCAAGCTAAAAACCAGGGGTAAGGGGGCACAAATTACCTGCATTGCCCCGTGCACTGACAACCCATGCTATGCATTACAGATTTCCCTGAGGAAGTCTTGTGACCCGTGACGCAACACGTAGGACGAAAGCGTGGTGACGTCAGTTCCAGCATGGACGGCAGCCGCCATCTTGCTACACCCCTGCAAGTACACCCAGAAGTGTTTTGTGCTGATTTTAAAGCCTGTGGGTCTGCAGACCCTTTTTATTCATTGTCAGTGCGTTTTTGACGTGCGTTATCGGCATTAAATTGTTAAACTTACTGCACTATGGAAGTCTATTTCTCTTACCTCTTAATGGTGATCGCTGGAGAGGCTATTTGATTTACCATCGCTAGAGGGGGATACCACCACTATTGCTAACGGTTTCCGGATTGCTGCTAAAAGCCCCAACAGGATGTAGATCACTCCGCTAAGCGCTTGCTTGAAGGGTTTTGGCCCTTAGGGGTCGCAGAGTGGAGGTGAGTGGGCATGCTAGCCGGTGGTGGATACACTTGTTAAGTTGATCACCATATCTGTCACCTATCAAAATTGTGCACGGAATCATATTACTGGAACGTTCACGGAGATATTTTGGACTCATCCCTTTTATGTTAGTTTTTGTGGCAGATTTTGTCACTTCTTTGTATGCCACTATACAGTGAAGGAAATAAGCATTTGATCCCCTGCTGATTTTGAATGTTTGCCCACTCACAAAGAAATGATCAGTCTAAAAATCGAATGGTAGATATATTGTAACACTGAGAGACAGAATAGCAACAACAAATTCAGCAGAAATGCATGTCTAACAAATGATGCACTGATTTGCATGTTCATGAGGGAAATAAGTATTTGATCCCCTATCATTCAGGATTTCTGGCTACCAGGTGTCTTTCATACAGGTAACAAGCTGAGATTAGCAGCAGTCTCTTAAAGGGAGTGCTGCTAATCTCATTTTGTTACCTGTGTAAAAGACACCTGTCCACAGGAGCAATGTCAGGGACAAGATTGTAGACCTATACAAGGCTGGACTGGGCTACAAAACGATTGCCATGCAGTTTGGTGAGAAGGTGGCAACAGCTGGTGCAATCATTCGCAAATGAAAGAAACACAAAACTACTGTCAGTCTCCCTAGGTCTGGTGCACCATGCAAGATCTCACCTCGTGGAGTGTCAGTGATCATGAGAACAGTGAGGAATCATACCAGAACTACACGTGAGAATCTTGTCAATGATCCCCCGGCAGCTTGGACCACAGTCACCAAGAAAACAATTGGTAACACGCTATGCCGACAAGGATTCAAATTCTGCTCAAGAAAGCACATGTCCAGGCCTGTCTGAAGTTGGCCACTGAACATCTGAATGATGCAGAGGAGGACTGGTTGAAAGTGTTGTGGTCAGATGAGACCAAAGTCAAGCTCTTTGGCATCAACTCAACTCGCCGTGTTTGGAGGAGGAGAAATGCTGCCTATGACCCCAAGAACACCATCCCAACTGTCAAACATGGTGGTGGAAACATTAAGCTTTGGGGGTGTTTTTCTGCTAAGGGGACAGGACAACTGCACTGCATCAAAGGGACAATGGACAGAGCAATGTACCGTCAAATCATGGGTGAGAATCTTCTTCCCTCAGCCAGGGCACTGAAAATGGGTCGAGGATGAGTGTTCCAGCATGACAATGACCCAAAACACATAGCCAAGGCAACAAAGGATTGGCTCAAGAAGAAGCTCACTAAGGTCCTGGAGTGGCCTAGCCAGTCTACAGACCTTAATCCGATTGAAAATCTGTGGAGGGAGCTGAAAGTTTGAGTTGCCAAATGTCAGCCACCAAACCTTAATGACTTGGAGAGGATCTACCAAGAGGAGTGGGACAAAATCCCTTCTGAGATGTGTGCAAACCTGGTGGCCAACTACAGGAAACATCTGACCTCTGTGATTGCCAATAAGGGATTTTCCACCAAGTATTAAGTCATGTTTTGTGAAGGGAATCAAATACTTATTTCCCACATGAACATGCAAATCAGTGTATCATTTGTTAGACATGCATTTCTGCTGAATTTTTTGTTGCTATTCTGTCTCTCAGTGTTAGAATACACCTACCATTCGATTTTTAAACCGATCATTTCTTTGTGAGTGGGCCAACATTCAAAATCAGCAGGGGATCAAATACTTATTTCCTTCACTGTATGTCATTTTTGAACTTTTTTTTTTTGTTGTGATTCACTCACTCTATTGCTTATCATCGTTGGTTTTCTTCCTATGTGTTTTTTTTATGCATTTGTGATCACGGTTTTGCTGCTGTTACGTTTTTTATGTCATTTCACATTTATTTGTTCACTAGTGCTATATTCTTTTTTCTTTGGTTGCATCATATACATATGAATAGTGCAGCACTTTCACAGATTTAGGTTTTCACTATTGCCCAGTTGGGAGTTTCCCCTTTTTCTTTCCATCCCACTTAGGAGTCTTACTATATATGATGTGTTAACACAGTCCTTGGTTGTGTGGATTGATATTATTTGGTTGTTTTCATTATATAGGATTAGCGCAGCACATTTTTTTGTCTCCTTTTCATGATCTGGTTATATATTTAGGTGCTAGCAGCCATTCCTGAGTCTTGGGATTTTGTCATGTTGGGGGGTTAGTGGCAGCGCAGGAGGCTCTGTTTAGATTTACAGATTGACTTCTGTACAATCAGTCTGTTGGAAAACCTACACACGATCAGTGTATTCCGACGGTGGAGAAGTCTACCGGCAGGAAGAAAGCAAAAGCTCAGTAGGAGTTATTCCCCAGTCCACTTTGAATGTGTGTATGGGGGAATCAGGTCAATATTTTTCCTTCAACCCGCTGGTTGAACGGAAAAAAAAAAAATTGCTAACGTATGCTGTCTTATTGGCACTGGGTCAGACATAACACCACATTAATTAGTCTCTCCCTGGGCAAAGTAGGGAGTCACAGAGGTGTTAAATAATGGAATACTGGAAACCACCTTGACACAAAAATGTCTGAATAGTTTAAATAAAGCATCTTACAATATCCAGACAGCAAAAATAATAACCAAAATAAAGACAAAATTTTATGATTTTAACCAATTCACTGCCACTGGAGTCGGTGGTAGCAGGGGGTTTTATACACTCCTGCCAGCAGCTGTTTGTATATCTGATAAGCCAACTGCCAGATGGAAGCGACCAAGTGACAGTCATCCAATTGCTTCTAAACATCCCAGTAACAGCCTTAAAATTAACTTTTGTGTATTTTTACTGAAATTTTGCTAAAGGGTCATAGGCTAACTGCATGTGTTACACCTCTGTACGGACAGGGGCTGAGTCTGCTGGAACCTGGCACTGCACCCATGAACCACTAATTGGGGTTGCAAAGATTTGCAAAAAAAAATATTTAAATGCACATTTTTTTCTGCAAATATATGTCCAATTATTTTTTTTTCGCTAAAGGTTGACTTTAAAGCTGAATTCCAGACAGATATAAAAGACACAAATTAATGCAACTCTGTATTTGTTTATACATCCATAAATGAAAATATATATATATATTTTTGTTTTAAATACAAGCAGTGCAAGTACCTTATTTGGCTTGGTATCAGCTTCTTGCAGTCCCTGTACAACAAAGCTTACAGAGGGGGAGGGAAAAGCAGCACAAAAGAGCCAAATCAGGTGGGTTGCACTGCAAGGAACATGATGATAAAATGGGAGTGACAGATGAGCTCAACAGTTTGCTGATTCTCCTCCCACTTTCAATGTCACAGAATGGAGATGGGGAGGACACCTGTAAGTACAAGTGACACTGCAGCAGAGAAAGATCAGGTCCCCTTCCTTAAAAGGCCAGAACTGTGCTGTGTTGTAGAGCTACATTAATCTCAGTACTGAATAGATAAAAATACAAATCCTTTTAGATAAGGAAAACAGCTGTCATATTTTGTATGTGTATTTAGCTCTTTGACTGGAATTCAGCTGACATTATACAACCAGAAAATTAATTGAAGGAGCAGTTTATTCATTGTACAAAAAAAAAGAAAAAAAAAAAAAAAAAAGAAGAAACAACAAAGAAAAAAAACACATTTGCTTAAATAAATCATAATGTAAAACATGACTTACCAACTTCATTAAAGTCATCAAAAGTAATTTTTCCTGTTGCTTCACTGTCGTAATCCTTTAGGATTTTTAGAACATCTGCTTTCTTCACATCAAACCCCAGAGCTCGCATTGCCACCTGCCAATATCAGAAGTCCTTAAAACCATCTGTTAATTAAGACTTATCTATCTAGAAGCAAAATCAACCAGATAAAAACACCTCTACATTCAGAATGTCATTTTATAAAATGTTCTAGATGTACTATGAATTTAAATCTACAAAGATAATCTACGTTCTAGAACTTTAAAGAAAAAGCCCACCCAAACAGATTTTATGAATTTGAGTTGATAACAGGGTTCACATGCACCTTTAGATCCCTATTGTGGTCTGGAAAACTATTCTTTTTTTTGGTCAGCTTTAGGATGGGCTAAGCAATTCACCTTCAACTGAAACCTCCTACAGAATTTTCTACAGATGTCCAAAGCTATAAGAGAAACCTTTCCAGTTAGAAAAACTGTGGTTGCCCTTATTCCCCCTTATCTCACTTGAGCCAGACCAAGCATGCACATATCAACAGCTGGCCGCTGAGATACCCATTCAAGGTCAGTAACCAAGTGGCAAGGAAGAATAAGAATGACATTCTGTAACCACACATACAGCTCCTATGAGACATAACTTTGTAGGTGGCTTCTTGTGCTGTAATCGGGAGGTAGAAACCTCCCACGTCTGATTTGCAAGACTAGCAAGGACATAAAACAGAATGTCAATACAGGAGCACTGTACTTCCATAAGTGCAGTCCTAAAAAAATAAAAACACAGAAATACATCTGATCAGTGAGGGCACAAAGAGCTAGAATGGGGAAGCAAAAGAAAAGAGCCAGATTGCTGCTCCTCTACTGAGCACGGCTGTGTGGGGGCTGCAAGGGTTGTGTGACACGGGAGCTGAAACATCCCCTGTAATTACTGCAGGATCAAGCTGTAAAATAAATTAAGTCCTGCTGAAATAAGGCCAGTGCTATGTGCATTATGAATTCATAGGCAACTACATGAAAATTGGCTTTATGGGGGGCCTCTAACCTCTTGTCCACTGGGTCCTTGAAGTCTGGGACATTCTCAACCGGAAACATATGCTGACCGTATACGATTCATTCTTTTTTTTCACTGTTTAACCAGGAGGTTGAACAAACAAACAAAAAATAAATTAGCCTATTTTTCCCATCCACACATTCAAATTGGACAGGGGAATCACTAGTCTGTGATCTTGTCCCATTTCCCTTCTATCGTCTGCCATGAGGGTGTGGGGATCCCCTGTTGATGTAGATCAGGAGGGTGCAGCCATCCTGTGTCCCACAACTGAGGCTTCTGAATAATTCAGAGAAGGCTCATGCCTGAGCCACAAACTATACCAGAGTATAGGCTGGAGCTCCAGTGTGTCTGTCTGCTGCTTTTCAGAGTCAGGGAGAGGGCAGTTTACCTCCTACAGAGAATGGCCCACTGTGTGTCAAAATGTATCTCAGGACTAGCACCAAAATGAATCTCAGGTCTACAAAACGGTGCACGTTGTGCTGCAATAGACCATTTAAATTGCACTCGCTAAGCCATGGCTGCGACAAACTACTTAAAAGTTTTCTTTTGGCCTAAGGCGCTCTTTCCGCCCATTCCCCTTTACCCAAGGTTGGATGGATGAGGGGAATGGGTGTGAGAGGGTTGAGGGGAACACCACAGGGGAAGGGGCAAAGTCCCCACACCACACCAAGGTACAAGCACCCTCCCAGGGAAAAGACCACTATGTGGAAATTTCCTGATTCACCTATTTTCAGGAAAAAGCTTTTAAGAAATGGAACTACTGGGGTTCAGGTCGCCACTGCCCTGGACCTGTATAGCACTATGCAGCTACATACACTGTGTTGTACTGCTGTACCAAGGATAAGTGCACAGTTGACTGCCAGAGGCAATATTACAGACTGACCCCATGTCCTCCACGTTCCAGGTAAGGTTCCCCCAAAACACCACCAAGAGGCAATTGATCTGAAAGTTGCAATCCTATTGCCATGGTGGCATTAATGCAGCAAGGGGGAGATGGGATTTCTTCATGAGAAGGTCCAAACTAAGTCTTCAATCTTCCAATATAAATTGGAATCATAAGCCAGTAACCTGCTTTCAGTAGACAGAGGTCATCCGTCATCTAAGGAAACTGAGGACTGACGAACTGGAGGGGCTATATGGGCTGTCCTAACAACATTGTTTGCCAGTGTCCTCGCCAGAAGGTGGCAGCATAAAACCCATATAGTGAATACAAATAAATTAATACTCCTGTGCTTTCAACGTATTTCATCAAGCTTTAAAAAAAACTGAAAAAAACCTTCCTAAATAAAACTATTATACAGAATTTATTTATTAAAATGAGCAGCTGAAACACTCCTGTGAATTCGCTAAAAATACAGATAAATATACCATCCAAAAAATCAGTGCAGTGCTTCTTACCAGAAAATAACTAACTTCTGTAACAACCCTCATTCCATTTCTAATGATTAAGATCCTAGGCAACGTGCTGTGTCTATGTTTGGACTGCGACCCATTGTTGTATATGCTTTGATATGCCTTTTTTCTTCTAATAAAAGTATTTTTGGGAAAAAAAAAGATCCTGGGAGATGATACCCCTCTGAGGTTGCTATGCTTCCAAGGAGTGCCTATGACCTGGTATGAGAACGGGGATAACCATATCAAGCTTTTATTGACTTCTCTATAATCTGAGTGTCATGTACTCTTGGTAAACCTCTCAGTGTGTCTGTGTGGCGGCGGTGACATGGAATTCACACATCAAATATTGGATTTTTTCACATTTATACTGATTTGTGGAGTTGCTGATTTACATATATGTACCATTTTGGTTGGACTCAAGATTTAAAGCAACCTGTGTCCTGTACTATACAATTAAAAAAAACAATTTCTTGAAGCACAGGACACAGAATCTTTGGTCTTTAACCACTTGCCCCCCATGAAGGTTTTACCCCCTTCATGACCAGACCATTTTTTATTCGGCACTGCGCTAATTTAACTGACTATTGAGCTGTCATGCGATGCTGTTTCCATATGAAATTTATATAATTTTTTCCACACAAATAGAGCTTTATTTTGGTGGTATTTGATCACCATTGGGGTTTTTATTTTTTATTAGATAAACGAAAAAACCTGAAAAATTTAGTAGAAAAAAAATGTCTTCATAAAATTTAGGCCAAAATGTATTCTGCTACGTATTTTTGGTAAATAAAAAATCCCAATAAGTGTATATAGGGCTAAAACAACTAATCAACATAGTTGTCAACTACAGGTGAAACTCAAAGAAATTAGAATATCAGGCAAAAGTTCATTTATTTCAGTAATGCAACTTAAAAGGTGAAACTAATATATGAAATAGACTCATTACATGCAAAGCAAGATAGTTCAAGCCGTGATTTGTCATAATTGTGATGATTATGGCTTACAGCTCATGAAAACCCCAAATCCACAATCTCAGATGATTAGAATATTGTGAAAAGGTGCTCAAAGTGTCCCTCTCTAATCAGCTAATTAAGCCATAACACCTGCAAAGGGTTCCTGAGCCTTTAAATGGTCTCTCAGTCTGGTTCAGTAGGAATCACAATCATGGGAAAGACTGCTGACCTGACAGTTGTGCAGAAAACTATCATTGACACTCTCCATAAGGAGGGAAAGCCTCAAAAGGTAATTGAAAAAGAAGTTGGATGTTCCCAAAGTGCTGTATCAAAGCACATTAATAGAAAGTTCTGTGGAAGGGAAAAGTGTGGAAGAAAAAGGTGCACAAGCAGGATGGATGACCGCAGCCTGGAGAGGATTGTCAGGAAAAGGCCATTCAAAAGTGTTGGGGACTTTCACAAGGAGTGGACTGAGGCTGGAGTCAGTGCATCAAGACCCACCACACACAGACGGATCCTGGACATGGGCTTCAAATGTTGTATTCCTCTTGTCAAGCCGCTCCTAAACAACAAACAACGTCAGAAGCATCTTACCTGTTGCTCAGTGGTCCAAAGTCCTCTTTTCTGATGAGAGCAACTTTTGCATCTCATTTGAAAACCAAGGACCCAGAGTATGAGGAAGAATGGAGAGGCACACACTGCAAGATGCTTGAAGTCCAGTGTGAAGTTTCCACAGTCTGTGTTGATTTGGGGATCCATGTCATCTGCTGGTGTTGGTCCACTGTGCTTCATGAAGTCCAGGGTCAACGCAGCCGTCTACCAGGAGATTTTGGAGCATTTCCCTCCACAGAAGAGCTTTATGGGGATGCGGACTTCATTTTCCAGCAGGACTTGGCACCTGCCCACACTGCCAAAACCACCAAAACCTGGTTCAATGACCGTGGGATTACTGTGCTTGATTGGCTAGCAAACTTGCCTGACCTGAACCCCATAGAGAATCTATGGGGCATTGCCAAGAGAAAGATGAGAGACATGAGACCAAACAATGCAGAAGAGCTGAAGGCCGCTATTGAAGCATCCTGGTCTTCCATAACACCTCAGCAGTGCCACAGGCTGATAGCTTCCATGCCACGCCGCATTGAGGCAGTAATTGCTGCAAAAGGGGCCCAAACAAAGTACTGAGTACATATGCATGCTTATACTTTTCAGGGGTCCGATATTGTTCTATGTACAATCCTTGTTTTATTGACTGCATGTAATATTCTAATTTTCTGAGATTGTGGATTTGGGGTTTTCATGAGCTGTAAGCCATAATCATCACAATTATGACAAATCACGGCTTGAACTATCTTGCTGTTCATGTAATGAGTCTATCTCATATATTAGTTTCACCTTTTAAGTTGCATTACTGAAATAAATGAACTTTTGCACGATATTCAAATTTTTTGAGTTTCACCTGTATTTTCATAATCAATTAGCTAGTCAGCCAATTAGTTGACCTGCATACAGAATGTATTATATGTTTACATATGAAAAAATACAGTGCCCCACACATACAGCTCAGTAAACCATCCATATATGTAAGTATATACAGTGCAGCACAAATACAGCTCAGTACACCGTTTATACATATCATTAATTGCCTGAGAACTTGTGAATGTGTGAGGAGAAATGCTTTGTGGGATAACAGGAGCAGAAAGCGATTTAAAGCGATTCTAAAAGGCAAGTTTTTTTTTTTTTACCTTGCTATAGGGGCACTCTATACTGCACTTTGCTGCTTGCTATAGGGGCACTCTGTAGGTGGAAAGAGCCAGAAGCAGCAGGGGACTGGTCTAGCACTCGAAGGATCAGTGGATTAGGCAAGTACGGTATGTCTCCGCTGTACAATCCCATAGACAAAAACAAGCAGTTTACCCATGCAATACAAAAGAGTTCTTCTTTAATGTTTTATATTCTGTTCTTTTGAATATTCCTGTCACCTTGGTCAAAAACGAACGTAAATTTGATCCCACTATTAGAAATTCGAATGAACATTCTTAAAATAAAAATTTTTGAACAAAAAATGCGTTCGTGTATAGCCAGCGTAAGTGACAGCAAGCACAAGTAGCTTGTATCAAGTTACCTGCCTATGACAAGAGAGTATTATATTACAATCCTGTCTGAAAATCTACAAAACAGCATTTTAGGGTTTTTTTTTTTTCCTTTAAATACATTTTAAAAATAATAATTTTTAGTTTGAGGATATGTGTAAGACTCAACCTCCAATAGTATATACCGTATTTTCCGGCGTATAAGACGACTTTTCAACCCCTGAAAATCTTCTGAAAAGTCGGGGGTCGTCTTATACGCCGGTGCGAGCCGGTGTCAGGGTGGCACTTTTTCGAGGGGCGCGCCGCCCCCCCTCCTCCTCCAACAGACACTAAGTACAGGGGTGGGCAGAGGGGCTGCTGTACCTTACCTGGCTCCGGTCCCACGAACGATCCGGTCCAGGAAGCGCGGCTGCTCCTTCTTTCAGTTCGGCAGCTCGATGGTCACACGGCCGCTCGGCTCCGCCTCCTCACCGGTGATTGGGCGCCAGCACTGGAAAGGCACACAGGTGACCAATCACCGGCGAGGAGGCGGGGGCCGAGCGGCCCCGTGAAAATCGAGCGGCCGAACTGGAAGAAGGAGCAGCCGCTCCTCTCCCCCACTGACACTAACGATGGGGCACTATTCCTCCTCCACACTGACACCAACGACGAGGCACTGTTCCTCCCCCACTGACGCCAACGATGAGGCACTCCCCTCCCCCACTGACACCAACGATGAGGCACTGTTCCTCCCCCACTGACACCAACGATGAGGCACTGTTCTCCTCACTGACACCAATGATGAGGCACTGTTCCTCCCCCACTGACACCAATGATAAGGCACTGTTAGGCACTGTTCCTCCCCCACTGACACCAATGATGAGGCACTGTTCTCCTCACCGACACCAATGATGGGGCACTATTCTCACCACTGATACCAATGATGGGGCACTATTCCTCCCCCACTGACACCAATGATGGGGCACTATTCCTCCCACTGATACCAACGATGGGGCACTATTCTCCCCACTGATACCAACGATGGGGCACTACTTCTCCTCCCCACTGACACCAACGATGGGGCACTATTCCTCCTCCCCACTGACACCAATGATGGGGCGCAATTCCTCCCACTGATACCAATGATGGGGCACTATTCCTCCCACTGACACCAATGATGGGGCGCAATTCCTCCCACTGACACCAATGATGGGGCGCAATTCCTGCCACTGATACCAATGATGGGGCGCAATTCCTCCCACTGACACCAATGATGGGGCGCAATTCCTGCCACTGATACCAATGATGGGGCGCTATTCCTTCTACTGACACCAATGATGGGGTGCTATTCCTCCCACTGATACCAATGATGGGGCGCTATTCCTCCCACTGACACCAATGATGGGGCGCAATTCCTGCCACTGATACCAATGATGGGGCCAATTCCTGCCACTGATACCAATGATGGGGCGCTATTCCTCCTACTGACACCAATGATGGGGTGCTATTCCTCCCACTGATACCAATGATGGGCCGCTATTCCTCCCACTGACACCAATGATGGGACACTATTCCTCCCACTGACACTAATGATGGGACACTATTCCTCCCACTGACACCAATAATGGGGCACGATTCTTCCCACTGACACCAATGATGGGGCACTATTCCTCCCACTGACTAATGATGGGGGCACTATTCCTCACACACCTACACTAATGATGGGGCACCATCATTGGTGTCAGTGGGAGGAATAGTGTCCCATCATTGGTATCAGTGGGAGGAATAGTGCCCCATCATTGGTGTCAGTGGATGAAATAGTGCCCCATCATTGGTGTCAGTGGGAGGAATAGCACCCCATCATTGGAATACCATACTGAAATAGCATACCATATTGAAATCAAATCTGATGTTTTTTCATTTTTATTTGGTGTGCGTTGGAAGAGGGGTAGTCTTATACGGCGAGTATAGCTCAAACCCTATATTTTAACAGGAAAAGTAGGGGGTCGTCTTATACGCCCAGTCGTCTTATACGCCGGAAAATACGGTACATCTCTTCTGTCTGGTATTCTCAGAGTGGATTGGATAGGATAATATGTTCCCCAACCATATAGCTGGTTATTTATATTTACCACTGCATACAGAAGACTAAATTACTTTACATACTGTATTAGCTAAATTAAACACCAAACTTTTTTTGAGGTTTTTATCCAATTAATAGAAACAATAAATCGGCCCAACTAATCGATTATGAAAAAAAATCATGAATTACAGCCCTATTAATTGGTTTGCATAAAAGTTAGAGCATCTACAAACTATGGGATAAATACTAGAATTTTTATTTATTTATACTAGCAATGGCGGTGATCAGCGACATATAGCGGGACTGTGATAGTACGACAGGCAATTTGACAATGACACTTGTGGGAACCGACTACCTGACCCCACCAGTGATATTATTACAGTGATCAATGCTAATAATATACACTGACACTGTACTAATCACACTGGATGGGAAGGGGTTAACATCTAGGGGCAATCAAAGGGTTAACTGTGTGCCTAACAATATGTTAAGTGTTTTACTAAGGGATGTGCTGGTTTTTATTACCTGCTTTGCAAGGAAACAAAAACTGGCAGGGCAGAGTTCTGTGTTGTTTACAGTCACAGAGCTCTATCCTGTCATTCGTTCGCCAAGTCCCAGCCATAAATCATTGGCCAAGACCCACTGCTCGGCATGCGCTGTAAGTAATCACAGCACAGCCAGGGCGGCAGGCGAGCACCACCTACCTGGAAGAGCTGGACTACGTGAGCCTGCGCATAGAAGACGTTTTGCTGCCGTACTTATAACTGAGGAGGATGGCAAGCGGTTAACAAAGGGGTTAGATGACGCTCCCAAAAACTCTGCAGGAACATTACCCCTCCCACTCCCAGCATGCCTCCGTTTTGTAGTAAGCATGCCCACAGCATGTGAGCATGCAGGGTGCAGGAGGTGGAATCCAAAATTCCAGTTTGCACTTTGGAAATAACACTCTATACACAAACGTCATATTTTTTTCAGCCGACAGACATCCCGCCACTCTAACATGAAAAGGGCGCCCCTTCATTGGGAAAAGGGCTTGGAGTTCCACTAACAAACATTTGAGCCCTAGCATCCTCTGCATATGGATAAGGGGAGGCTCATCCTTGTGATTTGGCAAAGTGTATCCACCAAACCTAGAGATTTTACCTGTTGCAATCACACAGCAGCATAAGGCCACATATAAAAGCTCAAGGCCAGCCTGACAGAGCGACAGTCCTATCTAGACTGTCAGTCAGCCAGTCCCCAGAGCAAATTACCTCCTCTGCAGTCTCTGGCTGCTAAGACTGCCTGCATCCTAACAACCAATGATGTCACATTGATATCTGTATCCATACACAACACAAAAGAGGGGAGTGGATAAGAAATGGGGTGGAAGGCTGATATATGACTTAACTGAGCTCTAAGAGGTGGCATTTTTATCCAAGGTGGAGGGGGCAGGGCCGGAAGAATTGAGGAGGACAGGGAGTGGAGACCTGTGTGCAGCCCCCTTTCCCCTCCACACCGGACACAGTCCCTCCTTTCCTATAGGAGCAAGGTTGTGGTGGGATACACACCTATAGTTCCGGAGCCTCCAGGGTCAGATGGGGCAGACACACTGGGAGCAGAGCAACACCTGGCCACTATATCTCTATGGAGCTCAGATGTTTTACATAGAATGGGGAAGGGTAAGACAGTGACAAAGATGAAAACTCCCTTCACTTTGGTGTCTTTGATGTCTCCCCAAGACAGAAGTGAAGGGAAATTTGTCTAGCAGGTTAAAGACTGCAAACAAATTACCTCATATGGGTTTTAACTCTTTTCTACAATAATCAAAACTAAAAAGAAGAGTTTTGACTTTACATACACTTTAGCTATATTAGGATGTGGATTATATTGTGGAACCACCCCAATTGAGTACTATGTTTGGAACTGGGTTTAGCTCGAATTTTAATCAATTCACCTATTGTTTCAATATCTTACCTTTAATTCATGGTAATCTATGGATTTGTCTTTGTCTGTATCAAACAGATCAAAGGCATCTTTAATTTCTTGTTTCTGTTCTTCTGTTAGTTCTCTTTTTTTCTTCTTTTTTTCATTTTGTCAACTGCCAAATCTGTCCTATAAAAAAAAAGAAACAAATATTTTAAAAAAGATTCATAGAGGTAAAAGTGTACTCTCAAGCGCTATTTTGTAACAAAACTAGTAGCAGTTTTGTAGTGCTCTGTGCTACAGGTGTGTTGCCAGCTACTGTACAATCGTGTTGGTGTGCCATTCTAAATGAATTGCAGCACAAACAGGTCATGCATTACCATGCATTCTGTGACAAGTGGTAAAACACAATTAAGAGCAAAACCTGAACTGAAATATACCCTTAAAGTAGATGTAAACCATACAGGCCCATTCAAACTTTAGGGCTGCTTCGCCTTAAAGCGGAACTATACTGAATCTGAGCACCACAAACCAAAAAAGCTATATAACTCAAACTTTATTATTCAAAGCAACCCCACCCCATCCATACATGTCTCCATGCTTTATTTTGCTGGGAAATCACTTTGAAAAACAACCCCCTAGCATTTCTGACCATGGCCATCTTGAGTAAAGGAAGATGATTCATGTAGTAATAACTTCCTAGAATCCATCTGCCCTTAGTTCAGGCATACAAGCAGGAAGGCATGCTTAGCTGAGAAAACCCCTCCTCCCCTTCAGATGACACCTGCAAAGTATGACATCAGTTGCCTAGACAATAAATCAGGAAGTGAAGAAACATAAAAAACAAATAGTTTAAAACTATCTATTTACTAATGCTAGAAGCATAGGTTTTTGAAATAGTCAATGTTGACTGAGAGAGTGAAGTTGCACTTTAAGGGACACACATTAATTCATGTTGCATTAACCTCCCTGGCGGTATTCCCGAGTGTAGCTCGGGGTAACATTTCAGTACCAAGAGCGGTAACCCCGAGCTACACTCGGGAATACCATGCGGCACTGCTCCGGCATTTGTTCTTCACTTACCTTACCCTGCGCTCCCACGATGTGTCCCCTGCAGCGTCCCCGGCCATCTCCTCCGGCCGATGCCGGCATCCGGCTTCTGTGTCCTGTCCTGTCCCTGTGACGTCGGGACGTACGGGCGCCGGAGGAAAATTTAAAAATTTAAAAAAAATGTCATTTTTTTTTTTTTTACATTTTACATAGTAAAACATTGCTGTCTCAACCGATTTCACATACATTTTGTCCCGAGTGCTTTGTCCGGCACCCTGCCTGCATTTTGTCTGTTCTTTCTGCCTGGAAACTGAGAAATGTCCATGGTGTCCAAAAAGTGTCCCTTTAGGTCAAAAGCGGTTTAGACCAGCTAGAGAACAGCGATAGTAAATCAGAACCACTTGCAGAATTGAGTGATAATGATTCGTGGGGGAAATTCGTCATCAGACACTGAAAACGATTCTGCGACTGAGCTCAGCAATGTGCGAACTTGGCGCTATATTTCACATTTCAGTGTTTTTGGTTTGATTATATTATTGAATTAAATTTTTTATTATTTTTATATTATTTTTATGATTATTTATTAAATTATAATTTATGATTTTGTGTTTCAAATTTTATCATACCCGGGATGTTTACTAGACTCTTGTTCGGACAGATTTCAGTGAGTTTTTCCTAAAAATTACAGCCTACAATTAAAAAAATACATATTTCCATGCAAAAAAATGGTACCGCTTTCAGCACCAAAAATCTGAAATAATCATACCGCCAGGGAGGTTAAGGTAACCCATCAATTTTGAATGGGCTGCATAGGGATCACAAAGCAGCCAAAAATGGACTTGCACAATTCTTCTTCCGATGCAGGACCCCACAATATGTGGGGTATGACTTACAGAAATTAAGAGAATGTTTGCATTTTGTGTGCATACAAGAGCATCTTTTTCCTTATACCTAGGGAATGCTGAGATTGTACTCTAAGCTGCACATATCCAGCTCAATGATACATTTGGAAAAATACTTTTCTGGTATAACATTTTGCAAGTACCGTATTTTTTTGCTCCATAAGACGCACTTTTTTCCCCCAAAAAAAGGGGGGAAAATGTCAGTGCGTCTTATGGAGCGAAATATAAAGCGGCCAGTCCGGTATTTCTGCCGCCACCATGTCAGAATACCGGGCCGGCCGCTCAGCTGTTCTCTCCTGCAGGGCCTTACCTTCCTCGCTCCAGCGCTGCACAGTCTTCCCGCACTGGCTTCTGTGACAGCCGGGTGCCCACTGCGCATGTGCTGTGCTTTGTGAATGGTCCGGTGTCTTCTGGGACACATGACAGGTCCCAGAAGGCGCCGGGCCATTCACAAAGCGCAGCGCTTCTCGCGCATGCGCAGTGGGCACCCGGCTGTCACAGAAGCCGGCCCGGGAAGAAGGAAGGAAGGACAACTCCACGGAAGTGGGAGCGGGTACCTGTCAAATTCAGGTACCCGCTCCCCCTCCCTCCCCAAAGGTCAGCAGTCTCTGGTCATCCCCCTGCACTGTCTGCAGTCTCTGGTCAGCCCCTGCACTGTCTGCAGTCTCTGGTCAGCCCCTGCACTGTCTGCAGTCTCTGGTCAGCCCCTGCACTGTGTCCGCAGTCTCTGGTCATCCCCTGCACTGTGTCCCGCAGTCTCTGGTCATCCCCTGCACTGTGTCCGCAGTCTCTGGTCATCCCCTGCACTGTGTCAGCAGTCTCTGGTCATCCCTGCACTGTGTCCGCAGTCTCTGGTCATCCCCTGCACTGTGTCCGCAGTCTCTGGTCATCCCCTCACTGGTCCGCATCTCTGGTCCCCTGCACTGTGTCCGCAGTCTCTGGTCATCCCCTGCACTGTGTCCGCAGTCTCTGGTCATCCCCTGCACTGTGTCCGCAGTCTCTGGTCATCCCCTGCACTGTGTCCGCAGTCTCTGGTCATCCCCTGCACTGTGTCCGCAGTCTCTGGTCATCCCCTGCACTGTGTCCGCAGTCTCTGGTCATTCCCCTGCACTGTGTCCGCAGTCTCTGGTCATCCCCTGCACTGTGTCCCAGTCTCTGGTCATCCCCTGCACTGTGTCCGCAGTCTCTGGTCATCCCCTGCACTGTGTCCGCAGTCTCTGGTCATCCCCTGCACTGTGTCCGCAGTCTCTGGTCATCCCCTGCACTGTGTCCGCAGTCTCTGGTCATCCCCTGCACTGTGTCCGCAGTCTCTGGTCATCCCCTGCACTGTGTCCGCAGTCTCTGGTCATCCCCTGCACTGTGTCCGCAGTCTCTGGTCATCCCCTGCACTGTGTCCGCACTCTCTGGTCATCCCCTGCACTGTGTCTCTGCAGTCATGGTCATCCCTGCACTGTGTCCGCAGTCTCTGGTCATCCCCTGCACTGTGTCCGCAGTCTCTGGTCATCCCCTGCACTGTGTCCGCAGTCTCTGGTCATCCCCTGCACTGTGTCCGCAGTCTCTGGTCATCCCCTGCACTGTGTCCGCAGTCTCTGGTCATCCCCTGCACTGTGTCCGCAGTCTCTGGTCATCCCCTGCACTGTGTCCGCAGTCTCTGGTCATCCCCTGCACTGTGTCCGCAGTCTCTGGTCATCCCCTGCACTGTGTCCGCAGTCTCTGGTCATCCCCTGCACTGTGTCCGCAGTCTCTGGTCATCCCCTGCACTGTGTCCGCAGTCTCTGGTCATCCCCTGCACTGTGTCCGCAGTCTCTGGTCATCCCCTGCACTGTGTCCGCAGTCTCTGGTCATCTCCTGCACTGTGTCCGCAGTCTCTGGTCATCCCCTGCACTGTGTCCGCAGTCTCTGGTCATCCCCTGCACTGTGTCCGCAGTCTCTGGTCATCCCCTGCACTGTGTCCGCAGTCTCTGGTCATCCCCTGCACTGTGTCCGCAGTCTCTGGTCATCCCCTGCACTGTGTCCGCAGTCTCTGGTCATCCCCTGCACTGTGTCCGCAGTCTCTGGTCATCTCCTGCACTGTGTCCGCAGTCTCTGGCCATCCCCTGTACTGTGTCTGCAGTCCATTGGTTCAGAATATTTTTTTTTCTTGTTTTTCCCCTCTAAAACCTAGGTGCGTCTTATGGTCAGGTGCGTCTTATGGAGAGAAAAATACGGTAATCTCTCTTCATAAATGTAGGTCAAAATGTAGTCTAAAAATGCTCTATTTCTTGGGTAAACAGGGATGTGCAAAACCATGTAGTTCCGGGCACCGTGCAGGTTGTACTTACTTTCGCTTAGCCCTGCTGCGGGCAAGCAACAAGGTTGTCATTAAACGTGGGCAGTATGGCTGCAGCTGTGCACAGTGAGTGTAACACTCATCCAGCACGCACAATCCCTCCCTTCCTGCACAGACAAGAGAGGAGAGATGTCTGGTTTTGCTCTACCTCCTCCCGCCCCTCTCCTCTGTGTTTGCCCCCTCACACTCCAACCCCGACCAGGAATTGCTTGAGGAAGGGGATGTGTGGGTGGAAAATTTGAAGATCCATCTGGCTGTAACATTAATGCCGCTGTCTGATTCTGCAGAGAGCAGCCTGGAGTGAATGACCTCTGCTCTAATAGAGCTTACCCATCTCCCTCCCTTCTTTCTTCCCCATCTATCTCCTTCTCTTCTTTTAGGAGCGTCACAACTATTACATGTCCAGTTAGCAACTGAACTATGATGTGAGGGCGCACTCCGCCACGGCCTGATGTGAGGGCGCACTCCGCCACGGCCTGATGTGAGGGCGCACTCCGCCACGGCCTGATGTGAGGGCGCACTCCGCCACGGCCTGATGTGAGGGCGCACTCCGCCACGGCCTGATGTGAGGGCGCACTCCGCCACGGCCTGATGTGAGGGCGCACTCCGCCACGGCCTGATGTGAGGGCGCACTCCGCCACGGCCTGATGTGAGGGCGCACTCCGCCATGGCCTGATGTGAGGGCGCACTCCGCCACGGCCTGATGTGAGGGCGCACTCCGCCATGGCCTGATGTGAGGGCGCACTCCAATGTATGGAAGTAATGCTGGGGACTTTGATGCAAGGGAGTACTCTAATGTGAACATGGTTCTCATCCTGACCGTTGCCCTACATATGTTGTTTTGTTTTTTACTTACTCCTGACCCCTGTTCTCTATATATTATACTGTACATAGACCTGACTAACACATTCATTGTCCCAATAGGTGCTGGTATTAATGAAATTCTTCTTTATGTAGGCTCAGTAAGCAGACCATACATTAGTCATATTTTTCATTCAACCAGTAGGTTGAACAAAAAAAATGATCCAACCCTGATGGACACCGAAGCTTAATTTCTCTGCTCAGCATGCACTTCTACTGAGCACCCAAGTGCTTCCGTGTGCAAGGTTAATTTACTAGCTCAGCAGATGAGCCTCTGCTGAGCGTTAAGAAAGACCAACACTCCCCTTTCCTGATGAGCACCCAATCGGTGCCCATTATACTGCAAGGTCTCTCCCCTCCCTGCAAGTCCCCAGGTTCGGTGCTGGAGACAGGCAGGGAGGCGAGTAGAATATGCACAGTGCAATGTTAAAAATAATAAAAGTTTAGGTCACCATAAAGTCACTTTAATTTTTAAAAGCCCCATACATTCCTAAAAGCAGCTCTGCCGAAAAAAGAACACTTTGTATTTTCCATCCTGGCAAAGCCATTTCAAGATTTAAAAGGGACATACTATCATTGAAAATTCCAAATGATAAATCTGTCTCATTCAGTAGTATTATAACAAATAAGAACTTATTTAAAATTTTGGTTAAAATTATTTTTTTTTTTTATCAGGACAAGTAGATTGTCATGAGGGACAAGTAGATTGGGACCCCGATTTAGTCCTTAAACAAATAGTTTTCTTCTTTTTTTAATTTCCACACCCCCGGTAAAAATAAACCACATCAGTGTATATTATTTAGTCTGTATGAAACCTATAGTCTACAAACTATGAGATAGATAGATCGATAGAGAGATGAAAATCGATCAAACCTGATGTACTGACGGCCTATCTAATTTCTTGAGGCCCTAAATGCCAGGACAGTACAAATATCCCCTAAATGACCCGTTTTTGGAAAGTAGACAGCCCAAGGTATTTAGTAAGAGGTATGGAGAGTTTTTGAAGTTGGAATTTTTTTTCCTTTCCTTTACCTACTACTTTTGCAAATTGCGCTACACAAAACTGCACAGTACTGAGGTACCATGTGGTTTGGTGGTCTCAAACACGCTGCATTTGCAAGATGAGTTTGAGATGTCGTTAGCAATTAGGGGTGCCCGTCTCGCAAGGGCTGTGTATCTACATGCACCTTTTTCATGTTCTAGTGTGAACCAGCCTTTAAATCAGAACTAAAAGAGTGTTACTTAAAGTATAACTTTAGGTAAAAAATTAAACATGGGCGGACAGACAGGATTTTTGATGCAGAATGCTTTGTCTCTTCTACATGAAAGATACTTACCTGCCAGTCCACCCCTGTACACTGAGCCGCGCAGGTGCAGCTTGCTGTACAAGTTTGGCAATGCTAAATTTGTGGAACTCCTGAGCATGCACAGAGTGATGTCTTCCCTGCCCGGCCAATGACAGCGGCTGGGCATTCAGGACCCAGAAGCCAGTCGCCCCAAGGTGTCAGCGGTCAGGCGGGGAGCTCCAGGACAGCACATCGTGGGATTGGAGGAGAGTATAGTTCCACTTTAATGTTCCTTCAACAGTTTCCATCCCTTGTCAGCATTTTCTTCTGGGTGGTGGTATTTGAGCCTCTTCACTGGCTAGCATGGGATGATATCACTCCTCCACCCTCAGTCCGATAGAGAAAATTCTGGCGCTGTAAGCTGAGCTTCACATTTGCAGCTCAGATGGAGAAGACAGTGATCAGGCAGGTAGGTGTATTTTATTGCAGAATACACATTTAATGTCTCTTCTATAATAAAAATCCAGCCTGCTCACTGTTTGTTAACCACTTTCCTACCGGGAACGTCTACCCCCTTCCTGCCCAGGCCAATTTTCAGCTTTCAGCACTGTCACACTTTGAATGACAATTGCGCGGTCAAGCAACATTGTACCCATATGACATTTTCATCATTTTTTCACACAAATAGAGCTTCCTTTTGGTGGTATTTACTCACCGCTGGGTGTTTTATTTTTTGCGCTAAAAACAAAAAGAGAGAGCAAAAAATTTGAAAAGAAGTTTTTCTTTGTTTCTATTATAAAATTTAGCAAACAGGTAATTTTTCTCCTACACTGATGTGCATTGATGAGACTGCACTGATAGGCAGCACTGATGAGGTGGCATGGATAGGCAGCACTGATGAGCTGGCACTGATGATGCTGCACTACTGGGCACCAATGGAGGGTGGCACTACTGGGCAGCACTGATGGGCACTGATCATCAGTGTCGATCCCTTTGCTGACAATTGCTGGTTTTCTGCAGTACTTTCCTCACACTGTGACAGCGTGAGGAAAGTGCAGCCTATAACCGACAACTGTATTTACCAGTGATCTGCTGTATCATTGGACACAGCTGATCATTTATTTATTATTACAGTCACTTATAT